TCTGGGGCCAGGGCCTGGCGTGGTTCTGGGGCCAGGGTCTGGCGTGGGCCTGGGGCTCACAGTTGAAATGGGTCTTGGGCCAGGGCGTGTAGATAACCTTGGGCCCGGGTTTGTCGTTGATCTGGGGCATGGCGATGAGATTTCCAAGATCCTTCAGGTTCACTGTATCGTTGTTTACTGGTTGATAGATGTGAGTACTTGATGCTTAGAGGGGGGTGTATAGCTTCACGGAGTGTGACATCAGCAGTGACATCACAGATTTTGCTCCAATCAGATCATCTGTTATTGGAATGTCAGTGCCTTTGATGTGGCTTTGATGTGCCTTTGAATTCTCTCTCCCTCTCTCTCTCTCTCTCTCTCTCTCTCTCTCTCACTCACCCACGTGCGCGCGCACAACCGCGCGCACACACAAACGTGCGCGCGCACACAAACGTGCGCGCGCGCGCACACACACACACACACACCATTTTAATATGGCTTCTATGCAGACTGACTGTTTTATAACCAGTCTCAAGTGAAAGTCAAGGAAGTTCAGTTTTGTTAGCTTGGATTTTTCAGCCCAGGAGGTTGATGCTTGCCACTAACCTTAACCCTTAATCATCTGAAATGCTCAAATCTTAAACCTAAAACCACACTTAAATTTTTTATTTTATTTTTTACACTTTTTATATCCTAAATTTCAGCATTTAATCAGCTTTGATGAAGTTTTTTAAGTTGGATACATGGCAGCCTTCAGAGAAATGTCTTGGCTGTTGAAGTGAACACTATTTACAAGTAAGCTGAGATGACTTAGATTCAACATTTGGACAACAAAAAAAAAAAATGTTGTCTGCAGCTGAAGACTATATCACAGTGTACTTTAACCTTCCTTTATGGATAAGCAGAAATGCAAAACTTAATGCGAGGGAATACAATATACAATTTTAAAACACATATATTTCCAATTTGACATTTTGAGGACTCACAGTAGGGAATTCAAACCACATAAATTGAGACAGTTTTATTTTCATTAATCGTAGTAAATGGTTAGATTTCTACCTGAAGTTTTCAGTACTGAATACATTTAAGAATTGCTTCCATGAATACACATCAGGAATATGATGGTCATTGTTGTTAAGGTTTCTATGCCATGTCAACTCACACCTGAAATCACTTTTAAGAATTAGAAAATAAATTTCTTCCACTCTTCACCTGTATTTTACAGGTGAATGACCTGTTTGTTCACCTGCTTTTGACAGGCATTCATTAAAGCTTAATCCAGTTTGTCAGACATTTTCTTAATGTTTTCCATCCATCCATTATCTATACACCACTTAATCCTCACGAGGGTCGCGGGAGGGCTGGAGTCTATCCCAGCCGACTCACCTGGGTCTTATAATACGATTCACATTTGATTTTTTGCAGGTGTGATCACAATTTTTTTTTTTTTTTTTTTTTTTATTTGCTTAATGCCTCCTAGGACACATGCAGAGTACGATATCTTTTCATTTGTGTAAGGCTCATTGAGACCAAAATAGAGGATCAACAAACATTGTAGACTGACCATTAAGACACAGAGGCATCGCGTAAAATTAATTTGGCTTTATTGCTCGCACTGTGCATACAGTAGATGTTTTCAGAAAGTTGTTACAGTGACACCTTGTGGCTGCACTGCAACTCCGCCAACCAATTCACTTCGGCCACACCAAGACGACATGTGCTGCGTGTTTAGTAACCTCACACGCTACCTACGAATCACCCGACAGCAAGCACACTCTCTGCTCAGTAGCTCGTGTACATGTAAACCTCCGTCTCTGCGGCGTGGCCTCCGGGTTTGAGATGGTGTGTACGATAGAGTTCTGGATATACATGGAGACATACGAAGGGACTAATAATTTCAAAAACACAAAAGGTGGTGCAAAATAATGCAGATTCATTCATTGGGTGGAGAAACTCATACAGCAATTTGAACAGAAATTAATACATGTTAATCAAATTAATCTATCGGTCAGGGGCTCTATTAACTAATAAGAAAAAGGTTACACGTTAGAGCTGGACGATAAAGCCCGAAATCTACACTACGATGAAATTATACTTATGTTCACATAATTTTTAATACAGCAGTGCATCATGTTTCTATTCTTGGGTTGGCCCACTTTGAATATCTGTGTGACTTCTTCCAGTACGACCAGTTCAGTGACTTCTAGACTGGACTAACTGGATGGTGTAACTTCCAGTTCGACGTCACTGGTTGCAATCCTCACTTTAATTAATTCGTGATGTAGGAGATCAGTAGATTCAGTTTATCGTCCAGCCCTATTAACATACATTGGTTATATATTTTTTTAAAAACTGAAACAAAGAGGTGTTTGCCAGATCAGAAAGGGGTGAAATCCTAACAGTTCTTTGCCTTGTTGTAACTGCAGAAGTGCGAAGCAAACTACAAACCGAAGAGCAGACCTCGTCTTCCTCACACAGTAGCTGAGGCAAGCTGCAGCGCTACCAGTTCCTCTGCATTATGACAATCTGGCAAATCAGAAACGTTGGTCAGACCAGTCTACATCCGTCCTCCATTCTTCATTATCCTTCATCGCTCCACACAAGCTACGTCACCCATAACGGGAGCATGCTGACCGCTGTGTCTGAATCGGTGCATCTGTCTGCCTGTCCCTCTTGGCCAAATAAATAGAAAAAAAAACACAGAGAAAGACAGATGGGAGAAAGAGAGAGACCAGGTGTGTTTTAGTTTGATGGCAAGTGGGGTTCCCACGTTACGACGACGGTAGTGTTGTTTCCGTAGGAGCCGGCGTTTCCGAGACGGCTTCTGTGGGTGCTGCGGCGTCGGCGGCCGCTGAGACTGTAACCGAGGCTGGAGGGGCGGCGGTGGTGGTGGAGGAGGCGGGTATGAGGGGAGCCACGCCCTGAGAGAGGAGAGGAGGCAGCTGGGAGGGCAGCATGGTGGGCAGCGGGGGCAGCGGGGCCAGGCCTGGGAGGTTCAGGGGAGGGAGTGGAGCCAGCGGTGGAACTGTGGAGGAACCCACACAAAAAAACACCATTATTATTCAGAAATGACCGTTCTACAGTCTCATACACCAAGCATGAGAAAGTTGTACGGTAGTTGGAAAGTGTGTTAATCAGGCTTCTTGATGAGAAAAGCTTTTCTGTGTCAGTCCACTGAATATGTGATTACATGTAGCAGCCACGTAGCTTAGCATAGAATCTGGATGAAGATTTTGTGGAACTGATCAAACAAAGTAGATGGAACATGTTAGCGAGTGTGAAAAGTCAAAATGTCATGTATGGAAGCAAAAATGGCCATAAAGACACGTTGTTGTTTTAGAGCTGGGACTGTGTGAGATAACAAATCATGGAAATTGCAGATACTGTGCTTCTTTTGTTTGTTTTTAGGGTTTTCGTCATAATACACCAACCACATTATATTCCTGCACTTACACAAGTAGTTGTTAAACATGTTTATTGGTCCTTTTTTCCAAGAGTTCAATGAAAAAAAAAAAGCTGCATCTCTTGTTTTTGGCTATGGAATACATGACGACAGCCAGCAGTCGATTAGCTTAGCTTTTTTACACTGATTACACAAACTAGATATGTTAATTAGTGAATATTTACTTGAAATGTTGCTTGCCGTAATCATTTATTTCCCATCGGATGCAAATAGTTGGTTTCTCAAGGAAGCGTAGGCTACAATTTATGACGCACATCAAAACGTCCGACACGCCAGCAGCATTTTGTTGCACATTTATTCTCCAGGAAAGCAGCTGTTTCATCATATTTGCTCCTCGGGTACTACAAGCTACGCTACTCTGATTAATACATCCGTCAGTATTGTGATCACCTGCACAAGAAAGAGGTCCGTGGCTAAGCAGAGGCATTAGATGCTTCTTTAAATGAGGCAAAAGGCAAGTGAATTTTTAGGACTACAGATTCGTTAGGGTCAGTTTTTATTGTTTAGTCTGATAAATGTCAAATCATAGAAGCAAATATTATCCATAAATTCACTAAGAGAAACATGATCCCTTCAAATGAGTCAAAATATTGACGGTTTTAGGTTGGTCCTGATCATGTCATCTAACCCTAAGCTAAAAGTGATAGCCTAACCCAGCCGACTCAGGGCGAAGGCAGGAGACACCTGGACAGGTAACCAGTCCATCGCAGGGCCACACTTAGAGACAGACAACCAAGCACCGGGTGTCCTCACTGGGATGCGAACCGGCAACCTTCTTGCTGCGAGGCAACGGTGCTAAACCACCGAGCCACCTTGCAGCCTATATGTCCTTAAATGCTAACTAGAAATAGTCCAAAGCAATATACTTGAATGACTAAAAGAAATATAAATTATATTCATATAGTATTTATGTGAACTCAGACAATACGTGTCTGAACACACAACAACTCCAACACCGTGTACTCATCAGATATGAATAATGCTCACACACTTTTAAACACTTTTTCCCTTTTTTGCTAAGAATAATTCCTAAAAAACCTGAAACACCTCAAACTATCCAGTATGTCACAAGATTAAAACAACAAAGATGGGAAGAAACGTAACAAAAATCTGCTGTTGGTTTTCAATCCTGTAAATAATCTAACAAAAAAGCCCTCACAAGTCAAGTGTTCAGCACTTTGGAAGCCACGTGTACAGAGGTTGTACGCATGGTTCAGAGTGTTTAGTTTGTACAGTAAATAAGGCTGCTCACTCACCTGTCGTTCCTACTGGTGGTGGTAAGGTGCTGGTGCCTGCTAGTGACACAGCACTGAGGTCTGGGAGTGGCAGGTTCAGGTTGGGAAGGTTAGGGAGTGGAGGTAAGCCGCCGGGGAGGGGCATCAGACCTGGACACACACAAAATTCATTCATCAGTTAAACTGCCAGTGTCTTAATTATTTTAATCTCCAGAGAGTGTGCTGCTTCGATGCAGTGAAGGTTCTTTGGCACAACAAAACTGGCAGGGATGACCTTTCATATGAGTTAACAAGAAAAACTCAGGGCTGAAGAAATGCCAGCAGTAGTTGATGGGACACGCGGGCTTCGCAGAGTGGGCGAAAATTTAACATAATACGTTTATCCCCAGAGTTAGCCTTGTGTACACACAAACTTCATATTGGCTCCTAGTGCTTTAGAGACAGACCTTTTTTTTTTTTTTTTTCCTGGAAGGGAGGGAACACACCCTCATAAATCTGTGAAGAAAGAGCTGTAATACCTCTGCTACTGTTGGGCTTTCTCAAATTTATGGTGTGAAAGCCGACAGGCTCAGCAAACAGAGTGATGCTGAGAGATCACCTACCTGGTAGCGTGGTGGCTGGGTTGAAGCTGGTGGCGGCGGGATTCAGTGGAGTGAGGGGGGTGAGGGAGGGGTTGGTGGAGGAGGGGAGCAGAGGGACTGTCGGCAAACCTGGAGGGAAAAAACAAAACAAAACACAGCACGCATTAGGTAAGAATATGTTGAGTAAACACTAAATGTTTACGTGTGCTTCTCCAACCGTCATATATCAAGTTTAAACTGGTGGGTTGCATCGATGTCTTTGAATGAAAGAACAGAATTACCCGTCTGTAGCTCAGCGGGCATGGTGGGCGGGGCTGAGCTGATTGACAGGCCGGACAGCGACTCTTCAAGGCCGGAGGGGACAGCGGGTGCAGTGGGAGAAGGGCTCACTGCTGAAAGCTGGACCTGAAGGAGTTAAAGAGAGAACATGAGGGAGGCGGAGGAGAAGATGCTGCTATCAAACAGATAAGGTCACACTCATCCAAACGTGCAATTAACTCTAATGAAAAACACTGCTCTGTGTCCCTCCTGCCTGCTTTACTGCATACATAATGAGGACACTTGCATTTCTAGAGTGTGTGAACACTTGCAAAAAAAAGTGAAGACACAAAACTTGAATCTTTTCAAGGCCATGCCTGCACACACACTGCATACTGATGGAAAAGTTTTGCTTGATGAAGAATGTGATAAAGCACAAGAGACTGTAGCTTTCAGGGATACAAAGTAGGTGAGCGATAATGGGCAACATCTCAGAGCACCACAAATTACAACACACAAGCACTGCTGCAAACGGTGATTTTCAGCAATTATGTTGAAATTTAAGCAATGTTTTGGAATTTCAATGTGAACTGAGGAGTGGAGAACAGTGATAACAGCTCTGACCTCCGTGAATCCGTCCTTCAGCGGACTGACAGGCTCGCTGGGAGAGTTTCCAGGGAAGCTGATCTTCTTGCCCTCCTCAAAAGGCCGGGTAGGAATCCTGTGGAGGTATCCGTAACCAATTCCACATCCAAGGCTGTGAAAAAGACGAGAAGAATGTTGAGAATCCAACCGACAAATCTAACGTTTTTTATTCAAACTTCTGTGAAATTAGCCTGCTTTTAGACCTTTGATTTATCACCTACAGTTCCCTTTTTTTTCTGTGTTTAAATCACTCTGGTGTTCAATCAATCAACCTACTGTATCAGAGAGGGAAAATGGCTACATCCAGGAAAAACAGTGACTGAAAGGTAACCAGCATGGACAACGTAGCTGGAGGTTGACTGCTCTCGCAATTACAACCACAGCATCCATGCCAACTGAAAACAACATTAATGGGATGTATTTATCAATTCTTACTAATGATTTAAAGCAAGTAAGCCAAAGTAATTGAAAAATTCTGTTTGATTGTGAGGCTAATTTGAGGTGTAATCAACTGAAAATCATTATTTACATTCATTTTAAAGTATGTCAACTCTTAAATATCTGCTTCTTACAGGGGATAGCAGGCGCAGGGCACTTATCCCATGTGCAGAGTTCCCAGTTCTAATCCAGGTGAGTGGGACAATTTGCTGCTGCATGTCATTCACCTTCTCCCTGCACTGTCAGTATCATAAAGGCCCGAAACAAATACCTCAGAACATCTGGGTGCAGGTGTGATTAAGCGTGCGTATTACCTGCCCTCTCCTCCCCAAGCACTGTTCGGTGTAATGACCACCTCTCTACAGTTATCGGTGTCTGTGTTGTACACATAGAGCTTCAGGCCCTTCCCCTCGTGGCTCTCTATCAGAGAGAACAGGTCCTCAGACTGCAGATAGTCACAAAGAGGGATGGCAGGTCAACAAAAGGAGGAGATGTACAATCAGCATCGTGTGGAGAATCTGCAGCAAGAACCGAAAGTGCTGAGCAGGTACCTCGTTCATAACAGTGTCGGCTCCAATGATGTAGTCAGTGTGCGGCCGCAGGCCGGCGAGAGCTGCTGGGGAATTAGGCTCCACTTCCTGTTACAGACAAATTTATGCTGCATCACGTATATGGAGACAACACAATGCAGTTAAGCCTTTGCAGCTACCTACCAGCACATGCCAAACATTCTCATTAGCTCCCTCAAAGCTGCAGAAGCGAATTGAGACACCAAGCAAGCCCTGCCCCCCCCACAAGTTGCTGGGTGTGACTGTAGACTCCCGCAACTCCAGGGTCTTTGAGGAGTAAACCAGCATCTTGACTGGTTTCTCCACACTGGCTTTGAGCAGATCCTTTAAGGTATCATTGTCCTTGTTCTGTGGAAAACAAAGACGAAGACAGAATAGGCGACCATGAAAGATAGCATTCCTCATGTTTTGCACTTGCTACACTTGCTTTGCTGCCTTTTCTTACCAGTCTGGTGTTATTGATGGAGACAATGAAATCAAAGAAAGGCTCCAGCCCTGCTCGGTGTCCAGGCGAGTTCTCCTGAACCTGCACAAAGATGAGAGGCAGGCTGAGTGGCTGGACTGTGACGCTTTTTGCATGTTATTGATTGTCATGTAAATAAATAGTACTGACCAACACATACGTGAGCCATCCATTCAGTGGCTTTCAATTGAGCAACTTTTGGGATACAAACAAGTCAGATATGATTTTGACTTTGGTTATAATGTGCACAGATACCACTGTGATCACTTATGAATTACTATATTGGACAGATATGATGCGACTAGTCCCCTCTTAGTCTGTACAACTGCCCTGATGTCAACTTTAGCATCTATGTTAGCTACTGGCTACCCACTATACCTACTAGCTACCTAATGTTACTGATAATTCACGTCTGAAAACTTGGAGTAGGACGACCAACGTTAGCTACGCAGACAGTGTTACCTTGTTATCATGATTCAAATTCAACAAAACAAGGTAAAAGCAGCAGCGTGCACAGAGAAAGTGTCCGATAATGGATGTATGAGTGAATCCAGCTTGGCAACTGTCATTCAGTAGCTACGTAGCCTTAGCTAGCTCCAACCCTACTGCTGCTCAGCTGCTGGTGACTATGTTTCAGTAGCCGACACAACAGGGATACACAAAAATATGGAAAACTGACACAAGCCTAAAGCACACAACATTTCCCTGACAGAGTGTTGAGTTATTCAAACGGAGGCCGCACCGCTCATCCCCGGCCTCTCGTCAACACACAGAGCCGGGAATCCTCCGCCTCTTAGCGGATGCTAAGCTAACAGCTAACAGCGGGTTGTTGAAGCTGAAAACTCACCCGGAGGACGTGGTAGCCCTCGGAGCCGCCTCCCGGTATCTCCACGCTCTGCGAACCTCCCATGGTCTCGCTCTTTTGGGACTTTTCAACGTTTCTACGGCAGCTTGTTAGCCTGCAGAGGTGGGATACCTGAACGCTTCACACACCGGGTACACGTCGCCAAATGACGAGCGGAGCGATGCGCATGCGCCGTAACGTGGCAGGAAATAACGCCTTTTGGACGATTACAGATTCCTGTTCATTCAAACAGCTCTGCGTTCAAAACACTGCAGGTGCTTTTATTCATCTTAGACGGGTTTTAAACTCCTTTATTGACAAAATTGAAACTTTTAATTCCACCTATTTATTTTATAAACCACTGCAATTTTTAAATTAACCCCTTATGGCATGAATTTTTATTGTAGGAGGAACAATATTTCACAGCAAGATGCTATGAGGGTACTAAAACACCAAGGTTTTCTATATTATATAGCAAGTGGAATGAAAAACAAACGAGCAATAAATATATTAGAATAAGTTTTATTCCAATAGATTTTATTTCCACAAACATCAGCCACAGATGGTTGATCAGTCAGTGGGTTAGAGGTTAGCTGCTGTGTGTGTTTGTGTTTCTGAATGTGTGTTCCTGTGGGGTTCTGACTGAACTGGTGTTTCTCTCTCTCACTCTTTTCTATTTCTTTTTAAATTTTTTTTTTTACAAAGCACAGTCTGTATTATTCTGTATGGAACCTTGGGAAGCAGTTGCTGGTTGATGTGAAACAGAGGTGAACATCACATTTTTGGTGTGTGGCTTTAGGTGAACCTTTGCATCTCCTTTTCTTTTCATCCATCACCATCCAGTGGGCTGTGGCCTCCAGACACACATCAGGGACCAGAATGGGTGTAGTGGGTCCTCTTCTTGTCTTCTCTCTGTTGCCCTCTGGGAGGCGCTACAGATGCTCTAAAGCAAAGACCAACAGACTGAGTTATGATAAAACTCTTTTTGCCTTATTTGTACTCAATTTAACAAGTGCCACAGTTTCAGTTTGTGTGCCATGATTGAAAAGTTTCTATAAGCTCTTATTTAAAACTTTCTGCTGTAATTAAGCTCTTCTACAAAGCTTTTATCAAGTCCAGTGTAACAATTTTCATGCTCTGCAGGTTCGATAGCAAGAGTTAGAAAAACTTTCTAATTAGAATAAGATGGTCAAAACTCACCAGTAACAATGTAGATGTAAAATAAACCAGAGTCGTAGTGACAGCGACAAAAACCATGGGGTTTTTTATTTTAAAAAAAGCAATGGAACAAAGAACTTGTGTATAAACTAATTAAGTTAGCAAGAATTAAGAATGAAGGGCCATTTTCAGTACATGCACTCACAGTTTCTTTTCTTTGATAGTTGAAAAACTCGGCTGACTTGTATTATATCTTCTAAATCGTATCTTTCAAGATTTCACATGCATATTGTAATACTGAGTAAATGTTGCACCAGATACTGAAGTGAATCTATTCTCATGTATCTCATCTTAACTACATATATATGTACAGTGTATGCTGCATAACTGTCTCCATACAAAAACACAGTTAAATAACAGTTAGAAAACAATGCGACTTCAGTGTGTATTGTAAAACTATTTCTAAACCTTGAATTTGGGCTTCTGAGGGGTTGAGTTTGAACAGGTTTTATATGGATTATGGTCTGGTAGGTTTATTTATCTACGACACAAAGCAGGTGGTAACCATTCTGAGAAGTGAGGTCATCTTTTAGCCCCGGAGCTGCTTCTGTATTGAATTGCAGTGTATTATGTGTCCTTTCATTTCCCAGCTTTTATGGGGCAGAGGGCAAGGCTTTGAAAACCAGGCTGCTTTTTTCCATCAAGGAGGAGCGTGTTTTAAAAAGTCAACATACTTAATCGCTGTCAATACAGAACACTGAGATTCACATGACTGATATTTGTTGCATGTTTTGCTCCTACAGCTTAAAGCTTAGAAAGTGAATTGTTTTTTTAATTACCACATTCTAGCAGCTCTTTGATAGAAAATCCTCCCACAAATTATTATTCTCAGTGGCCAATGTGTAGGGTTTTGTCTGTATAGTGGAAAATCCCCAGTGTCGAAGTCATAGGAACTGTGGAGATTTTTTTTTTCAAGCAGTTTTATTAATTGTGCATTCATTTATTCAAGTGTAACAGACATTTTGTTCATCAAGGGAAAGTTAACACAAGCTCATTTCCTTTATGTGGACTAATAATGCTTTCTGTCACGTGTAGTCATCCCCCCAAAGAACCAATCTAAACCAAGAGAATCCCAGATGATTGGTTATACTTGTCTTTATTTACATACCGTAATGTTCTCTTTGTACACCTGAGAACAGAAAGAAACGTTACTTCATTTTAATATTCATTTTTTTCAGATGTTAGAATTCATTTTAATATTTCAAATGCTTAATTTTGAAGCTCATCTGTTTTCACTATGTGCTGTTGAACTGTCATAAAAATGACACCATAGCAGAGATTATTAAAACAACCCTACTTACAATTTAGGCGACAAATCTCATAAATCCCTTTACATTGTACTCAGTGAGGAATGCTTTTGTTTTTTCCTTTTAGGATTTTTTTATCTTACAAGACAGGAACTTAATTAGACTTTTGCAAAATACAAATTCAACAAAAGGTGATAATAAGTATTTAAAATAGGACCATTAGAATGAATAGAAAGAAACAAAACATAGAAATTCAGACCTAATAGCACGTTACTGATGCTCATATTAATCTACCAAACAGATAGAACGTTAACATTAAACAAATGAGGCTTGTATAGTTGGAATATACACAATCCAACTTTCCTCCCCCCTCCCAAAAAAAAAAACTTGTCCTGTTGCAGTTTGACAACAAAAGTAAACCTTTTCTTCTTGAAGATATCAGAGATACTAGAAATCTAATCGTCTGTTGCAGGTATTTCAGGCCTGAAACTATTTCCTAGTAAAGACGTTCCTGCTGGCTGCACTTTAGATCTGTAATAGATATCTGATGTTAGAAGTAACCTTATCTGATGGTCTGTCAGCAGAGTAAAAGCTCCGTAGTTTAAATTAAACATCCAAACAAAGTGCAAACTCTTCAAACCTCGTTCAAGAAAAAGATTTTAAAAAGTTTGTTTCATGCTCTCTGCAAAGCAAACATGCTCAAAAAAATTATTTTTACTTGTAACCGTACTAATTATCATACTCTTATTTTGAAAGCCTGCTGTGTAACACATTAGAAGCATTTTCATAAGGTTTTCTCAGTTTAATCCTCCTTGTGCAGGCAGGAAGTCACCACCAGAGGGCGCTGGCTGCACATCTCTGCAGCTCCCATCCAGAAACTCCACTCCACAACCCCTCTGATGTCTCCATGCCCTCCATTCAAAGGTTACGAAACACTGGAACCAATGCTTTTGTTTCTCTGTGAAATGGAGTCTTAATGAGGCTGAATCAGCTCGAAGGGCGAAAAGAACAGAGAGGTGGCGGAGAAAGAGAGAATGAAGGAAAGAAGAGAGTAAGTGAGAATGGGAGAGGAGAGAAAAGCGAGAGAAAAGAGGTTTAATGCCGGAGAACAGTCGATTGGACACGCAGCTGGAGGCCAAACAAAGCCCTCTGAGGATGATTAGGCAGAGAAGCGATGGTATATATCTGTGTTGCTTCTCATAGAGGGGAAACTTTAGAGTACAGACAGAAATAAAATGTCATTTCTTGTGGGTGCAATTCATGCAGCTAAAGCAAAACGTAGTTGATGGATGTGCGTCTGAATAAGTCCGACTCAGTTTTCCCTTTAATAGACTTTATTAAAGATCTTTTTCAAGATGGTATGATTCTGTTAAAGTGCCTACTGGAAACCTCTTGGGAAGCGTTCTCGTACAGTCGGCTTCATCAGAAACCACACTGCTCACGTACAAGAGTCACGGGCCACATACAGTACACAGATTACCTTAAATATGATTTATGCAATTGTGCCATTCACATATGGTCCCTATTTACCATAAATACTTTTATATAATACACATCCATTTACAATGGAAGAAAGAAAGGTGAACATTGTGCAAAGACACCGACAGGAACCTTTATACAAGATATTCCATTGAGCTCCTGTAACACTGAGAATACAAGTAATATGTATTACAATTAATATATACTATATTACAGTAAATGCATTAGGATTCAGACAGACACAACGATTCTTTCTTCTCAGTCTCAAGAGGAGAGAGTACATTCTCACATCCTTGTGCTTCTCGCTAAAATAAAAGACCGCCACTACGGCCGGAGGATTAAATAGACTTCATTCTTAATCTCATCAGAAGGCCAGTCAGTCATCTCAAAACATTCAGTCAAAAAGACTCACAATCACAGAAAGAAACGCACAATAGAAATTGCATCGCAGTCGAAGGTCTATAGGTAACATTTTACAAACACCTATAATCTATAAGAAGTAATACACGAAGGACGATGGATTGTTCTGTTCCCCATTCTCTTTCTTTGGCTGACAAAATCACTATAAATAAACTTTACTCAATTCCTGTGATTACAAATGTATTACCATGTAATACACATAAAGATACATTTACAATAAAATACCTGAATCTGCAAACAGTATGTATTATAGAATCAAATATTAATATTCTAACAGTGTTATAAACACACATGGGTATCACATGATTGCATGGAACAAACAACGAGCCAGCGTTTTACAAGTTAAAGGTCGTCTCTCGTGGTCTGAGGACGTTTTAAATCTTAATCTAATCTTCTATGAGGGAAAGTATTGCAGACTGTAGCTCTGTTGCAGGCGGTTACTAAATCCTCACACACTTGGCACCTACGCTGTGCACATTAGCTTATTTTTAACACAGTGCTAGCCTAAAACACACGACAGGATACACTCAGTGTGCTACATGCACACCTGCACACAAACGCTGCTTCGGGGGCTTCGGACACTGGTTCAGGACAAATCGAGGTTAAATATACGTACAGCTGAAAGCACCTGTGATTCAGCTGCGTGTAGCAAACGTATGATACAGCAGAATAACTGGATGATACTTGTTATATTTTGATCTGTGCTTTTTTCCCCCATTTTTATTGTTTTACCAAATTCACACACACACACACACACTCGCTCAGACATTAAAAGACAAAATACACCGGACAAAAACCAGATCTCACACACACACATTACAAGGTCCCACAGCTCAGTCACACATTAGATCATATTTGTTGTATCTGCAGACTTCAGATACTGTTTATATATTTTATCTATAGAAGGAACTCTAAGGGTCAGAGCTGGAGAGAAACTCAAAGTCTCTCTCGCTGCTAGTTTCTCTTCAGTTGTGGAAACATTTAGAACGCTTCAGGCAAAGACGTGTCCTATCATTTCTCTGTCTGCAGCACTGTGAATGTTTCGCCTGTGAAATACAACCGATAAAAGACTGTAGTTTTGCCCTGTAGTCACCAGAGGCGGCTGAGAGGTTTACAGATCTTGACCGAGCCTCTCGATCTCGTCGATGAGGAAGTCGATGTCGGACTGGGTGGCCGCGGAGTTGGACACGACCATGCGGAAGAAGTTGACTTTGTTGCCCTGAGGCTGGTAGCCCACCATGGTGGTCCCAGACTCCATCATCATGGCTTTGATCTTTGGTGCCACCTGGTGGAAGGAAAAACAATTTAGACAGTGATTCATAGAAATAGAAATTAGTTGTGAGAAAAAGGTGAGAGGTGATGGGAGTCGTACCCTGTGGAGTTTTTCTCGCCTCTCATCACCTTCTGGCATTCCCCTCAGGCTGGGTGGGATGTACCAGAAGCAGACGTTGGTGTGTTGGGGCTGCACACAGAAATACGCACAGTGAATAAACACACATCTCTTTTTTGTTTACATCAAGCAAAATGAAAGAGAAGAAACACTGAATCTTTTGTTTTTTTGGTCGCTAGCCCTCCAATCGTGGTTTTTCTTAAAGGTCCCATACGGTGAAAATTAAATTTTTGTGGTGTTTTGTGATTGTTATGAAGTTGAAGGTGTAAAACAAAATAAGGACACACTGCCATAGATGTAGGCAGCTTGTTTCTCCTGAAGGAGACGAGAGCAGCAGCAGCTCATTGGTTTGTAGAGCAAAACAGCTTGTTTAAATCAGCCCTAAAACCACTGGTTATACATCCATCATCTATACACCGCTTAACCCTCATGAGGGTCATGGGGGGCTGGCGTCTATCCCAGCTGACTCAGGGTGAAGGCAGGTTCACCTGGACAGGTCATCAGTCTATCACAGGGCTACACTTAGAGACAGACAACCAAGCACACTCACATTCACACCTACGGACAATTTAGAATCACCAATTAATCTCAATATGTTTTTGGACTGTGGGAGGAAGCTGGAGAACCTGGAGAGAACCCACGCTGCACGGGGAGAACATGCAAACGAAACGCAGAAAGATCCTGGGTGTCCTCTACGGTGCTAACCACCAATAAACAATCAGCGTGAAATTAACCATGTTTGCAGTATTTTGAGATGAAAAACTTAAAGACACACTGTGGGGACGTGTGAGACTTTGATCAATTTCCTGAAAAGATGCACAATATGGGACCTTTAAGCACAATATTAAACTAACCTTTGTGATTCAGAACCAACATAAATAAAATACGAAGTCAGAGGAAGCTCACCACTCCATCAAACACCATCTGATATCCCTCCCTGTTCTTGATCTTGTTGTACAGGTACTGAGACAGCTCCAGACACTTGTCAATGTGCTGCTCAAACCCGATGGTGCCCTGCAGGGGAAAGAGTCCGTCGGGCAATTATTACAATAAGAAACACCGAGTGTGACGCTTTTTTTAAGGTGTTTACAAGACACTTGGTTAAAGAAGAGCTTCCCTCCATCTCACCTTGGCTTTCCACATGAGCCAGAACTTGAAGATGTCGACGTGCCGGCCACACTGGATGGCTTTGTCCCCTGTGTCGTAGGTGACATCATACTGTTTGTCTGGTTGGAACAGGTAGCCAGCGCACATGGAGTTACAGCCCGCTAGGATTCCCTGCAGACAAACAAAAAGTACGTACACTGTTAACATGTCTACTATAGCTCTTCTGCTCCGAGCACGATGTAGAAACTTCACTGACTCCAACTATGATACACTATTGATGATATGGATATAAAAAAACTGAAATAATCCAGGTACAGAACATGTCAGAATATAAAGCTGAAGATTTAAAAATGTTGAGTTGTGAAGGCTTATAAATCTTCTGTCTTTGGAATAAGGAGAGTTTGTGTGTGTGTGTGCGCTTGTGTTAATTGTGTTGTGGGAACAGAAATCTGGTAACAGTCACATAATGGGGACACATTGGGGTCTCAAAAGCATAAATCATCAAATTTTAAGGTCAAAGTAGGTTTAAGGTAAGTTTAGGTTCATGTCAGGGTGATGTTAGTCTCAAGGAAATGAGTGCAAGTCTGTGTAATGTCTTTGAAAGTAATGGAAACCCAACATCTTGTGACTGTGTGTTTTCTGTACCTTCTCTCTGACCAGGATTGCTGAACACTGTAGAGGGACGCCCATCATCTTGTGAGGGTTCCATGTGACAGAGTTGGCCCTGCAGCATTTATCACATATGTTAATGTGGTTTCATTAAAGCTTTTTTTTAAATCACAACACATCTGTTCCCGTATGCTGACCTCTCAATTCCATTGAGCTTATGGCGATGCTTCCTTGACATCAGGAGTCCGCCACCCCACGCACCCTGAGGAGAGAGAACAGCGTTACAGATGGATGTGCATGAAGAAACGCAGCATCGAATACTACAGCAGCTGATCCGGTGCCTGCTACTCACATCGACATGCAGCCACAAGTTGTATTTCTCACAGATGTCAGCGATCTCATTGATGGGGTCAAATGCTCCGTACACGGTTGAGCCGCCTGTGGCGTTCACAAACAGCGGCACGTAACCCTGCAGGATTAACACACGACAGAAGGACAACATTTTGGTGAGAGAGATAAAATACAGGGGAAAAAAAAGCAACTGCAAGGAAAACAAATTGAGAGAAAGACACCGACCTTCTGCTTAGCGTCGATGATTTTGGCCTCGAGATCTGCAGGAATGACTCTCCCTCTGAAAATGAGAGCATCGTGGCATCATTATGGCTTCATATTTTGCACATATTTATGTGGTGTCTGCGCTGATTGTGGCTTTAAATGACAACAATAAATCCACTACAAACCTCTCATCTGTGCTCAGCAGGATCACGTTCTCAGTGCCGAAGCCCAGAGCGGCTCCAGCCTTCTTTATGGAGTAGTGGCTCTGTGGGGACGAATATTTCATCCGTCATTGATATAACAGCTAAACTGAAAACGAGTGAACACCTTATGAGCTAACTCCTACTTGACTTTTCTCTTACTTGCTGTCAAAACGTGTATAATTATTTTAATATGAAAGCAGATGTAATAAAGGCAAGAAGAATCCTTTGTAATAACCATTGTCCTGACTTTGCTAGGTCTGCTGTTTATTACCTGATGTCAATGCATCTACTACAATTTTACAATTTCATTTATCCAAAGCGACGTACATCTGAGAGCACATACAACACAAGCAAGGATCTAGTCAGGAGAAAACAATCTGGATAAGTGTCATAGAACAAGTTCAAGTGTGATAAGGTGTTGATGCCAACAGCAGGCTGTGTGAGAGGTAATAGGACGTTTATATTTTATTTTTTCTAAAGTCAATGAAGCGTAGAATCTACTTTATTGGAATCGTCTGATCACGTACATGTTCAGATGTGAAGAGGACGAGGCGGGGAGCTGCAGACATGCCCTTGGTCTTCACCTCGGGGAAATACTTGTACCGTGCGATCATCACACTGTACATGTTGGAGATAGCGCCGCCTACGAAACAGACGCGCACACATCAGCACCCTGGACAGCGGCGGGCATGCAGTATTATTACAGAAATTAATAAACTGACACCCTGCTTATGGGGAAAAGCTGCTACCATCCATAAAAAAAAAAGATAACACACACTCAGATTTTATGTAGAGGCTGTGATTAACACGCTAACCTGGAGAAAACAGGCCGTCTCCTTCTCCGTTTGGCCAGCCAATCATCTCTCTCATTTTCTTCAGAGTCAGCTGCTCCATCAGGACGAACACCGGAGCGATCTCATAGGTGAACCTGCCAATCATATCACAAGTTCAGCATTGCTACGGGGTTTGCTGAATGAAAGGAGATTCTCACACACAAACACTTGCAGATGAGAGACACACACTAACACACACACACACACACACAGTCGATGATTTTTTCATTAGCCTTTCAATAATTCCATCCACCGAGCACAAAGTGGAGCTTGTGCTGACTGGGCTAATTAAAAAGTGTCTGATAGGAGTCAACCAGCAAACATTCATATTCAAATGCCTTCTAAAATCACTCAGTAGTTTAATTAAAGCACACAAAGCTCTGATGGCTATCTGTCAATCCTGCCAATCTCAGTGGCGACTCTGAATGAGGCTGATTTGATGGCTGAGAGAACTCGAATGTGTACGAGTGTGTGTGTGTGTGCGACAGAAAGACAAGGAGAGAGAGTGTTTGCAGGAGATAAGAGCCTCGTTTGGCCCCAAAAAACACAGAAACTCAGGAAGAGCCCGTGTCAATGAATTTCATTATTTCATTAAAAGAACGAGAAGAGAAAGGATGAAAAAAAAAATAAAAGTGATTTTCACAACACAAGAAGAATGCTGCTGGAGATGAGCTGGATGTATTTCTGACCTCTTTGTCAGTTAATAAAAGATGAAAAGCCTGGTAGTCCCCCGGACAACAATGCAACAAAACTCTCAGAGAAGCGAAAGTAGGTTAAAGACATCACAGAACTCTGAGGCCTGAGCTTTTGCCCTCTTTGCTAAATGACAAGCCATCTCAGCAGCTCCCACACACACACCCTCAGGACTGATCCCTGTTTACCCTGCTTCTAATGAGGCCACTTACACAACCCTCCTCCACTTCTACCACTGTGGCTCCACCAGCCACCACCTAAATCAACAACAGCATTAAATCCTCTCCTCTTCACTTCCTCCCTGTTTTCTTCACAAGTACATATCTAAATGAGGACAGAAGCGTTTTGTAGTTCGGAGAGAAAGGAGGGTAGATAAAGGCAGCGAGGAGAGGGAGGTATAGCGAGACAATGCACTGAAGGAAATTGTGACAGAGGACAACAAAGGGAAGAGGAGGAGGACGAGATGGACGCAGCGTGAGCAGAGAAAAGCCCACAGAGAAGAGACAGGACAAAACAAAGCACACAGAAACGGCTGGAATAGGTGGATAAAAGAAAAGAGATTGAAAGACGTAGTTGAGGACAGAGAGAAATTGAATTAAAAGCAGAGTGATGAGAAAAAAAAAACCCCAAGAAAAAGACATTTTCTTCCTGCTGCGGGCTCATCCATGGGCTGGATTTGATTAGAATATTTGCTTCTAGTCAGTACACCAGAGCAAATTATGACTTCTGGGTTTTTACTATCTGCCACAACAAAGGATAAAATCACAGAGAAGACAAAATGTCTCATTTTTCAGCCTCCTACAAGCCTAATTTTAACATTATATGGTTCTTTGATATGATGAAATTATGGTTCATATAGAGCAGACAAATGTGTTTAATGTCCTGGATGTCTCACTTTTCTTTTCTCTTAAATCTGATCCCAGCCACAGAATAAAAAGGGACAAAACCGGTGCACCTTTTTAAAATTCTCCTTCTCTCTGAGTCATTTCACGCTGTAATGACAATAATGGTGATCATTATCACAATCAGAGCCAATCATTGGTCTTTTCAGGGTGAAAATTACCCCTCAGTCACCTGCCTGTCTCCAGGGACAGCCCCTAAATGCCCTTATTATCATCATCAAGGGCACTCAATGTGTGTGAGTCTGTGTTTGAATGTGTGTGTGTATGTGTGTGTGTGTGGCTGTATGTGACTAACCCTCTGACCCCCAACCACACTCTCCTCTCAGCCCCTCAGAGGAGCACTGAGCCGGTCTGTATCCACGGGGACAATGGAGCCGGAATGAGCACTCCGCAGGGAGCTGCAGCAGCCAGTTTCCACAATGTAACAGGGTTTTCTGTGCTGCCGGAGGACATTGTGTGTCAGTGTGGGGCCCAGCTGGCCTATCTGCTAAGACCAGCTCACAATGAGCCTGCAGTCAATGGACTGGAAACCCTAGCTGCTGTATCTGGGACAGCCAGAGCTGGTGTGTGCATGTGGGTGTGTGTGTCATTATGGAAGTGTGCGCAAGCGAGTGCGGGAAGTCAATGGCCCTGTCTCCCAGGGCATTCTTCCAACCAGGAGATGAGATGGGAAAGTTTTTCTAAGACGGAGGGGGGGTTTCCTAAGCTAATGTTTTAAGAAATTGGATAAATTAAGTGTCTCGGTTTTCTCCTAGCTTTTGGTTTATTATCATTATGCTTAATCTTTTCTTGAGCAGCCAGATTGGAGAGAAGATCGTGGCCACAGGAGCTGGAGAATAGCTGGTATATATGGTCTGGAGTGGATTGTCTTCTGCCGACTGTTTGTTCTGTGTTGTGCTGCACATCCCACTGTCTTTGCAGTTATATGTGAAATGGTAGCATAAAAGAAGTCAGCAGCACTCTAAATCACTGTCACCAAGTCAAAGTCTTGCTTTAAATGAGTGACTGCATTGGAATCTGTTGATGTTTGATGTTAAGTCTGCTTTTCTTACCGTCTATCAGAATTCAAGTCTTGACTATCACGACTATTTTGGAAGTCTTGATTTATCTTCCTTACACATAAGAGAGCTGACACAAAAAAAGTCGATCTACTTATTATTGTTTTTCTCAATCAAAGATGTCCAGTTCAATGTTTTCAGCTTCTGATTCCGATCATTTCCGGCTCATCTTCATGTTATCTAACAATAAATTGATTAGTTTTTGACTTTGGACAAAATAAGACATTTGTTAATGTCACCTTTTAGGAAAACATGATGGGAAATGTTCACTACTTTCTACATATTTTATAGTCTAAATGATTGTCAATTTAACATGAAAACAGTCGACAGATGAAATCATTATTGGCTGCAACATGGCTGCGAATAAGCAACAACATATTATCAGAAATTTCTTTGGTGAACAAGACAATGATCTCTTCATTTTCATGAAATGATCACGTTCAGAAAATCGAAATTAAAATGACGGATTTATTCATCCATCCACTGAGTGATTTGACAGAGCTGTAAATATTAGGCTGGTTTACTCCCAGTGAAAATGTTTATGTGTGCACTCTTGTGATCTGTACTCTGACATGGTACAGCAGTCTCAGTAACATGTTCCTCATTCTATTCCAGTGATCATAAGACAGTCACGTCTTATTCACAGCATGTGTGTGTCGCAGTTTGTGTGTGTGTGTGTGTGTGTATCCGTGTTGAGAATGTGTGAAGTTGATGTGGTTCATGCCCTCTATCAGACTGGGCCACCATGTAACTGTGACCTGAGATCAATATGCAATCTAACTACCCCTGGGGCTCGGCTGCCTCCGATATACAGTACAGCAGCTCACCATCTGTCAATACACCGTCTCTGCAGGACGAAACAAACACTTTATATAACTGCCCTGACCGGTGGTGGAGCGAGCTCAGGGGAACACCGTGAGCACTTCCGCTATGCCAATATATGATGATGACTGGAGGCCATTTCCAGTGGCCTACAAACAGGAAATCTGAGCTGTCCTGTTGTGACATAAGGAGGTGTTTCCCCTTCATACATAAGAGATGAGGCTTACATGTTGGTGTTAGCGGTGGACGTGAGCCACTCTCCAGCCAGACCGATGATGTCCAGACCAGAGGATAGCTGGTTGAAGAAGCGTGGGTGACCTAAAATAAAAAAAAAAAAAAAAACAGGTTACAAACAAACAGCAATAATTCATGCATGTCTGCCTTATCCTGTTATGGTTTTAACAGCCTGCGACTTTAATTACATAAAATAAACCTAATTCTCAAAGATCTGCTCTTCATCTCAGGGTTAAACCTCATTCCGATTTCATTTTGTATTTCCCTGGTCAGCCGTGACACCTAAGGGATCTGACATAGCACTGCTCACTGTGCCATAATTACATTGGTAAGGACTATATGACAGCCAGTTAGGCTCTAAGGAGCGTGCAAACACAGTCACCGTGAACAGGCCCGGAGCCTGTACGCAGTCAAGTGTTGTGTGGATGTGGTGTAGTATGACTCACATAATAAACAGTCATGATTAGGATTTTTTTTAAAGGACAATAAAAAGAAAAAATGAAATAGGCTGGACAAAGACTCTATGTTTCAGCACCACGGACAGCTCCTCCAGTCCTCACAGATTATAATACAACCACAAAATATTCTGAAAAGAAAGGAGGGGAAAAAAAATGTATACATTTGTAGACAACTGCGTGATATATGAAACCCGAGGGACAGTTTGAGCGTTGTCGTTTTTAACAGTTTGAAGCAGCCCGTGTTAGGATCCCCTCAGGCGACACTTGCTTTTAATAAGTCGAGGGGAAAGAAAAGGAGCATGTCAACTGAATTACCACGGGGGCAATAAATAAGGCAGCCATCTTAACAGGCCGCACACTATCTGGCAAAACATCGTCTTCTCTAATGGGCCTGGTTTGTGTTGCGGCCACATGAGTACACTAAACACGTCAGTATTAATTTGAACGCGGGAAAATTGACTACATGATTTTATTTTTGCTATATTAAAATTCACAGCGACACAGCGGAAAATGTAAATATCAGAAATGTACGGAGCTCTAATATTACAGCAAGCATGGTGGGTTGTATTTAGTATTGCCGTCTCCTGTTATCTAAACGATTAAAATGCGCATTCCCTTGACATTTAAAACAACATAGGACACCGTGTGAATTATTCAAAAGGCCACAGTTATAAAAACCCCATTTTCTCCCTCAGACTACAGCCCCAAGGTGTTAAGGCCTACCTGTCCGGACGCCATATTTGAGCGTGTCCCTGCAGTCCACCAGGATCTGCTCCAGGGACTCGGGCTGGTCGGACAGCTCCAGGTTGAAGCCCTCCATCCCCTCCAGGAGCTGGTGAGGGTGGTGGAAGTCCAGCACCTTGGTGGAGCGGTCGAAAGTCTTCTTGACGTAGTTCGTGAGGATGTCGACCACCTCCAGCAGGAACTGTATGGTAGGCTCCTCTCCATTTTTGGCCGGCAGCAGGTCTAAGAGACGAAAATTAGACAATGTGGATGATTAATTCAAATAATTCAGTATCTGAGTGTGGTAATTAAGTAGCTTTTAGAACGCTTTGGGATTTGTCATTATTAAGCCCGGTTTCATCTGAGTTTATAGTCATTTTAGCGACCTACTTTTGCTATGCTGTTTTCTCTGATTGATTAAGGTAGCTAACATTAAGAAGCTAACGGCGGCCATCTTGGCCTCCTCACCTGAAGCTCCATATATGGTCATAAATCAACGTAAAGCGACTTCTCGGAGAAAACATTAACTTCTTAAAGCAAAATGCGTCACTGCGTTATTTTACATGTACAAATAAATTAATAAACAACCAAACCCAATAGCCAATACATTTTTGACATTCTAAATGATTAAAATGAGTTTTAACTGGATTTCCCCTTTGTCTTCAATGCTAATCATTGGTGTAGAAAACCATATTTACACTAATGGACGCCATCTTAGCCGTGTTATATAGCTCATCATGTCCTCAAAAGACATTTTTAAAAAGACAAGAAAGCTTCTTTAGTCTTTATTGTCCTAAAAGTTAATTTTAAGCTGGTGTAAGGAGGCCACCAATGTTGTGGCTTGTACTTTTGAGCAAACAAATAACAAAAATAGAGGCAACAATTAAGAAAAACCCAAGATATACGGTTAAAAATCTAGCGGCCAGAGTGCCAGCAAAAATATATAAAAAGTGGTGAAATACTGTAGCATTTAAAAAAAAAAAAGGTACAACATGGATATTTTTTGCAGATTTTAATATCGTGAAACTCTTCAACTTTAAGGTCAAACGTAAAAGAATAAATTTGTGTTTAGAAAAGTATCAGTTTTTGATGTATGCTTTACTTAAAGGTTCGGCCTGTTCATGCTTTTTCTCTATTTTACGAGTTATTGTCTGTATTTTACCAAAACAAGTAAGATTGACTGTAAGATTGTTTAAAAAAAATGGCGACTGGTAAAAAATCCTTTAATATATTTTTAGAGTGCAGCTTGCTTTTCTGTGGTTTATGTGACATTTGGAGGATCCCCAGACTTCCTGCTTAATGTGTCATCCCTAATGTTCAGATACAATCTGCATCCATGTCTGAAAATGTTTATTAAATCTGAAATTAATGTGGTCATAGTGTGCAATTCTAGTAATGTATCAAAGAAACATTAAAAAGTTATTTTTTTCTCTCTCTTTTTTTAAGGCAGCTATAGGTTGCAATTAACAGAGTGCAGAGTGAGGATGTCGTCCAGCAGCACAGGTGTACCGGCGCTCACCTCTGGCGAACAGGTTGGAGAAGTCGGTCTCGGTGTGTCGGAAGCGCGCGTCCCTGTCGCTGTTATCGCACGAGAGCAGGTTCTTCTGGCCCGCGAGCCTCCCCTTCTCATCCAGACTGTTGTTCTTCTGCAGGAACCCTAAAGTGTTACAGGGCGACGAGAACGAGTTATCCCCGAACACGTCCATCCCACTCACAGACATAACCCGACCCAAATGACAAAAACAAAAACAACAAAAATAGACAATAATAATAATAATAATAATAATGGATCTCCAAATATTCTATGTTGTTTACAGTCAGCTCCAGACTGAACCGGGTTTCCCACCGGAGGCCAAACTTATAGGCGTTCAGGCCAAATGAGGGCGTGTTTGGGTGCCCTGTGATCTCACAGCCACACCCCGGGGAGGAGGAGGAGGAGGCCCCGCTGAGCGCTCAGACTGACCGGCTCAGTGGGCAGCACAGCCCGCGGCGATGACCCACACAGCCGATAAATACCCTCCCTATAACGAAGAGTTAATGAGGGACGCAGAGCCCTGGAGCAGTCTGCCTCTGCAAGGCCCGGACTGTGTCTTAAACTCCACCATTTATCAGGTTTTTTTTTTAGGCCTTCTGTATCTGCGTAATAATGTGTGCGCCTAATTACGCGTAAAACACGTGGAAGCCACACACCCTTGTCATCTGCAAGAGTATAAAATATAATGTCTCGTTTTTTTTTTCATTGGAAACTTGCTCATTAAAACCCAAATGACAAATTCATAATCAATATTTGAGAGTGTCCAACTGCCACAGCCTCCGTATAGAAATGTTTCCACCCCATTTCCATTCGGCTCCATTAAAATGTCATTTAACCAATTAAAATCTAATGGTCAATTTCTAAAAATGGCGACTCCTTCAGTCCTTTAACTGGTTTGTGCAGCAACGAAAACGGTCGATGATATGTCGTTTGAACAGATCCGCACAACATTCATGTCCACTCGCAAGAAAATACTATCCAAAGATTTTATTTTTTGAGTGACTAGAACAATCAGAAATGATGGAGAAATAAACACGCCTTCAGTCTTTACTGCAATATCAGAGAGACTGGCAGAAAAATGACTCCGATGGGAGGTTAAAACACTCGGTTATTTACAAGATATTTCAAGGCTCGCTTTGTTTGATATTTCCAGACTTGTCCTGAGGATTTTTCTCCCGGTGGTGAAATGGAAAAAGACATGTGGGGTTCAGGGGGGCTGATCCGGGGCTCTCATCACCAGACCTACAGGCTAATGTCCACTGACCTCTGGGAGATGGAAACGCACAGTGACAGTGGAGGATGGCTCTGCTTTCACAGCCTGGATCACGGCCTGTTTCAGAAGGCCTCAAAATGCGTAAAATGATCATAAAAAATATATTAAATGAATGCGAGGCGATACATTTCAAAAAGAAAAAGTGGCAAAAAAAGAACATCACAGTTATGATGGAATTCCATTTTAGGAGACATGTTATTGTCCAAAGAGAAAAAAAAAAGACATGTGGTTCCTCCAGAAAAAGCGTTTACAAGAATTGTGCCCAGACGAAACTTACCACAAATCTTCATCCCCAGTTTCCGTGTGCATCCGTGCATCCACGCATACTCGTAGGCTAAAACAGAATGAACGTTTGAGTTTCTGCGCTGCAGGCCGCGGAAGGAAAAAAAATGTGGAGAGGCGGTTTGATGGAGCACAGTGAGCACAGTGGAAAGCGTGATGCGGACGGCTCTTGGCCAGGTGTGCGATTCTCTCATCTCGGCTTGGTTTTTTTTTCTGTGTGTGTGTGCTATTTTTTTTCTCGAATTAATAGGAATGTTTGTTGACCAATAATTGTGTCCATAATGTACCCAAACGCCCTCTGATCACAAAGGGATGAGTCTTATAACATTTCCGAGTTGAGTCCAATCAATAGGGACAGACAGTGGCCCGCACGGCAAATCCACGCCGGCTCACACACCCAGCCAAGGGGCGGACTGGAATTAACACCCGTGAAATGAGCTCACGGAGGAGGGCAGGAATTAATTGAGTGAAACACAGTATGTGGCTGGAGCGAGCTGGTAATGTCTGTGGTCTGGAAGTCTATAGCAAGGGCTCGAAGCAGAAACTTATAGAATATAGTGCATCTCATATATAGAAATACACACTCCATGCACGCACGCACACATTCAGAGGAACACACTCGCTGTTGCGCACAAACCCGAGCGTGGACATGCGTGAGCGGAGATGGAAGCCGGAGGGAGTCGAATGCAGAGCGCGAGAGAGAGAGACAGAGAGGGAGAGAGAGGGAGGCGAGTGCACCTGATGGAAAAGTTTCAAAAACAAAAACAAGTATTTAAATTTACTGAGGCAATCTCATTCCGAGAGAAACAGCTCGAGGGGCCGAGGCCAAGGCACAAACACACGCGCGCACATGCACACGCACGCACGCACAGACACCACAAGCCGCCAGGCGTGAGATGGAGCGTGGCAGAGAGATAATGGCAACATCCAGCAGCAGCAGCAGCAGCAGTATACGAGCAAGTCAGACAAAACAAACATCTTTTTTTTAATGGACTTTTCTTTCTTGGCACAAATTCACATGTGAAAGACGTTAGGGGGATTTTTTATTTTATTTTATTTTTTATTTTTAGAAATATTTATTGACACCCAAAGGCCACAGATACAAGACTCCAAATGATTTTATTCCATACAAACAGTTAATATACCATCTATTTGTTCTCTGGCCTCTAAGGAGCTGTAGTCTTTTTTTTCCCCTTTAACGTTTTGCTGAAGACAAAAACCTGTAATTATTTCCCTGCGTTGCACTGCAGATGGCTGCTCAAGTGTGCTCTAATGGAGTCGATTTTGTGTATGCGACAAAGGCTTAAAATGATTAATTAACCCATAGGTTAATGCCTTTTTTTTTTTTTTTTTTAAAGAAAACAACGGTAAAAACAATTCTCTAAGAGCAACAAAAACAAAACCCTATGGGAAATTACATATGATGTATTATTGCGGAAGTATATCGTTAATAAATATGGGTCGAAATCATTCCAGAGGATAACGATGGAATCAGAGGAAGGAAAACAGGAAGGAAATATTCTGATTTTTAAAAGGAAAATGCGAATTTAAAAATAAGAAAACGTGTATCAGTATAATGCTCCTGGGTCATTATAAATACCCGAGCTCTAATGGCGCATGGTGTCTTCCAGGTCCGCTGCTCGGCGCGCACTGCTGATCCTCCAGACAGCGACAGGCAGCTGTGATGGCTCTGTTTTTAACCGGAATGATTAACGACGGAGCCCACACAGCAAATGGCCCGGGCGAGACTCGCTTTTATCAGACAGGGACGGAGGAGAGAGAGCGAGAGCGAGAGAGAGGGAGGAGGGGGGGAGACAGGGGCTGAGAGAGGCGTACGGGGGGGTGAAGCGAGTTTAAGGCTTTGTGCTGGCAGCAGAGCGCACTGCAGAAGTGTCTCTGAGCAAGGCACACTGGGCTGTTCTGTAAGCACAGCCTGCGCGCTCCGGAGAGGGACAGCCTTAACTACTCTCGGGGAAATCGATGCTGGACCACGGGTGTCATTAAGAGGAAGAGGAGCGAGGGGACCTACTTGCGGACGGTGGTCTTAAATTAGCCGAGTTGGGGTCCTGGTCCCCGCCGGTGGCTCTCGGTTCAGACGTGGCCATCAGTCCTCTGTTGTCGGATCTCCAGCAGGGAAATAATTCAACTGCAAACAAAACGGTCAAGTGTTATGAGCGCCTGTAGGTGGAATTCAAGTCAGATTGAAAACATCAATTTTGAGTAACTGCGCTCAGTTTAGGCCTGAGTTTGATCAGAAGACGATGGTATCTGCTGTGCGTCGCCAGGAGCCATTCAGCCCCAAAGGGCAGCATCAAGCCGCGCAATTTGGAACGAATTGCGCACGACGCACAAGGAATACGCACATCAGGGTACACATGCGCCTCTTGGAAATAAGAAAATATCTACATAAATATACGTGTCAGATATTGTCATTAATATTTCTTGCTTTTAGTTGCCCATTAAATCCATCAGTGCATCTGACACTGGATTCCAGAATACAGGCTGAATAATAAGAAAAAGTCAGTGAGCTGGACATTAGAAATACGGGTTCTTCTTACAGTCTCTTGGATTAATAAAGCCCAATTATAATTATCTTTAGCTGTGAGTCCGATGCAGGGCAGCACCAGACTCTTAAAATATCTGAGTTTTATGTCTGTTGAGCTCAAAACAACTGATATTTCTAAGGCGCAAAAAACAGAAAGATTAAAACGCACATTCCTCTGACCGCCGGTGAGATGATTTAAGCAATTAGAAAAACTAAATTAATCAACAACATCGTGTCGCACAGGTGGTTTTAAGCAACAAATAAAACATAACATGCACCGATACTGTCTGTTCACCTATTGACTCAGCAATCGACATTTCAATTAAGTCGCGCTTTGAACAAGAATATTCCACAACATCATTACTCAATGTCACCATGACATGAACCGAGCTGATGAATTCCTTCTTCATCCCTGTCACTTATCACGGACTAAATTATTTCAAACGACGCAGAGAATATTATTTTTTGTTAACATTTTTTTTCTCCCTCTCCAAAAACAGCTTCGATAGTCTGAAAAAGACACGAACGCACAAGAAGCCACAGCAAAAGGAAGGGCGCAGCTTGAAATAAAAGGAGGATGCTTCTTACCGGCTTCACAGGTTGTCGAGTCCTCACAAAGTACAACTAAATGGAACAATTGCCACCCAAAGGCGCGACAAGAAACAGTCCAGTGGCGGCGGAATACCAGCAGAGCGCACTAATAAAATCCCATCCAGCGGCGCGCAACTGACCCTTTTCTCCCTCAAGAATACTATTATTTTTTTAATTCGTTATTTATATCTCAGGCTCCGGCTGCCCATTGGTCTCTTCAGGCAGGCATGAGTCACAGCCTTGCCTCCCCTTCTGACGACTAATGAAGCTTCCCTGACTGCTACTGACAGCCACAATCCACTTTAAGAAGCCAAAAAAAAAAAAAAAAGGAAAAGCAAAAGGAAAAACACCAGTGACGTATACCAACCAACCCACCCCTCCCTCTGCACGCGCGTGTGTCTCCAGGTGTGGGTGGGTGGGCGGGTGTCACATGGAGGGTGAACACTTGAATGTGAAATGTGTTTGGGGTTGGTTACATAGAAATTGACCTTGGGATGAAAAAAGGGTGTAAAAAAAACAGTTTTAAGCAACAGCAGCTACACATGCAGGATATCCAAACCAGGTTTTATGTGTTGGTTGATTAGGTTTCAGGGGACCTGTGGATTATTTAACCCACAATAGAAGCATTTATTACAGGAGGAAACACCATCCACCATCCATCCATCCATCCATACAAGCACTGCCTGTAATATTCACCTTCATGAGATGACAGCTCTGCATGCATCATAATTTTTGACCTGCACCTTCTTTTTTTTCCCACTCCCCTCTCCTATAACCTTGACACAGACAATAACAGTGAGACGTCAAAGCCTGGCGGGCATTGACTTTAGTGTCCTCACTGTCATCTTCATGCATGTGTCCTGGTCCGCCGAATGGCCAGAGACCAGCCATTATGTTCATTCAGCCACTGCAAATGACACAGCCTCTGTCAGATGGCGGCCATACTTCACAAAAGATAAGCCGTGCCATGTGATAATAACTCAAAACATCACACGGGCTGATAGCGTTCCACGAGGACGGATCAGCTGTGAGTGTGGCACAGTGTGCAGAAAAAAAATGGGCTTGATTGTCAGAGCAAAAGATGCATCCTCTTTCTGACAAGATCTTTAGGAATACAGATTTGTTTGATTGCATTAATTAGACTATTTTTTTTGTGTGCGTCTATGAATTAACATGTAATTTAAGAATTCGCCTGTTTTGAAAGTGTTTTGTATGAAATTCATTTGACAGAAGTGAAAAGAGCCAATGACGATGACACGCTGGAAGTGCAGCTTTTGTTTGGGTCAGTTTAGTTTATCCGAAAGTCAAGTTTACATCTCAGTTTCTGAAAAAAAAACGTCAAAAGAATATGAATGCTATGTGTGTCTTAGGCATTGAGGTGGCTTTTAAACTTCTTGCAAAGGAAGAGGTAACTAAAACCTTCCAGTCCAACCTCAAATGGTGGGAATGTGTGAAGGAAACATGGCATTCATATGTAATATATTTTTAATACATTAATTTGTAAACTGTTCCAGTCTCCTCAAACCAAAGGCGAACTCTACAAACATTTCCCTCCGTTATCAAGCATCAGTATCTTTAAATGTCATTGTGGATTGCTCCAGATGTTAAAACTGAGTTGATGAAACATTTAGCAGAGTCGTCCAGTTATGACAGTAAATTAGTAATGATTAGGAATGACAGTTTTTTCCACCAGAATGTTTAAATTTGTAAAAAGAAAGTTTTTCGGTCACTTGGGTCACTGGAAACAGATTGTGAACAAAGTTAACATGTCAAACTTATTCCTTCTCGTTTCCCTCTCTCATTAGCTCTGTCTGTGTCTATACTAACCCTTGAGGCTCTCTAGCTGCTAAATGCTCATCCATGTTTATCACCTAGTTGCTAACTGCGCCTCTCTGTTATTTCAAGCTAGGAATGTAGGGATCACTTGATGTCTTAGAGCATTTTTCTCTAAAAACAGCTGCCTAATGTAGCCAGAAATTATGCTGTGAGCAGAGTGAGACTGAACCGGAACACTAACTGTCATAAAGGCGAGTGGTGCCACAGATTCTGTTCTATAAAGGTTCATGTGAAGTAGGGATGCCTTTCACTCTGTCAGTGTTTTCACATTAGTATCTATTGTCTAATATTGGTTATAGGCGCTGTTGAATTTTTCACATATCCAGACACTGATGTGTAATGTTAAATACTTTTTTTTTTTTTAGACCATACTTTCAGGGGTATTTAAAAATGTCCTTTTTTATGTGGAGTAAAACTAACCGCCAATAAATCGACAATGATTATAGAGAAACAATGTTTGGAAAAGGACATGAAACTTTGAACTATATTTTCTCCTGCAGCTCAACAGATGACTAAATCTATATGAACACAAGTTTAACCACATGTTTTAAAACCTTATTTGCTTATGTTTAAAGGAAACAAAGGGATCCGCTTTATCCACAATAAATATTTTATTTGCAGGTAAAATATAGCAGAATGTATAGTTGTCACACCGTCTACAAAATGCACTGTGACTGTGTACAGTAGCATCGTGGGTTAAAATAAATACAATATTTCAACGGTAACAAGATAATATTCTGGAAGATCTCAGGTTAACAGTGTCGAACGCAGCCCCTGCTGGACCGTAACAATAGTTTTATGGGGAAATGTGAGAAGGAGGGCACGGCTTGTGTCTGTTCACCTGCTTCTCTTCTTCCTCCTCATCCTCTGATGGCGAAGAAGAGGAGCAAGATGAAGAGGAGCTGCTAGAGCCACAGAATGATTCTTCATCGTAGTCAGAGTCATCATCTTCTTCGTCGTCGTCATCATCGTCATCGTCGTCGTCGTCATCATCATCATCTTCTTCATCTTCTTCTTCTTCATCCTCTTCATCCTCCTCGCTGCTCTGCTCTTCCTCTTGCTCTAATGGAAAAAGGCATGACTCATATTCACTGTATACATATATTTGCATCCCAAGTGTTTGTGTTGTATGAAGACAACTGTCACCTTCTAGCTCTTTCTGGATCAGCAGGAGAAACTCTGAGGCCACAGGATTGTCTGGTTCATAGACGAGGACTGGAACAAGCAGAGAGGACGGAGCATTAACTGACTTCACAGGTGCCTAATTTATCTGACAGACGGACAAGTAGCTGACGGATGCAGGACACATACTCATCTGACATAGTTTACTGGCCCGTTGAAGGTCCTCCTCCTTTAGAGCTCTGAGGAACTGAAACCAAACATTTTCACTTGAGTTTCAATTTTTCTCATTTAAGCACATTCAAGCTGGCTAAAAGTGAAGCCAAGCATGTTTAGGCTTTTGAAACACACACACGAGAAACAACAACAGCACGGAGCGTGGAATTGCCGATAACGATCAGTCTCTTTACCTCTATTTTCAGCTCCACTGGAGCCTTGAGGTCTTCATCCTCAACATCCTCCTCCTCGCTCGGCTCTTCCTCCTCGTGTGTCACGTGCGTGGGGAGAGGTTCAGCTGGTGGGGGAGCATGTGTTGTTCCACCTGGCGACCATTATAATCATTATCATCATTTTTTTCCCCGCCTCCTACTTTGCATCTTATTCTTTACTGACCTACCAGATGCTGATGAGTCTGGGGGCTGTGACTTCTTCATGCTTTTCCTTCTCAGCTCTTCATCAGGAACTGCACTCGGCTGTGTTTGTTCTTCAATCCTGAAATGACATGTAATATTCAGGTACTGTATGTGGGGTATATTTCATTGGTTTGATCACCTACTCTGAATTCTGAGCACAGACCTTGTATGATGCTGGTGGACTCCTTTGCTCGCTCTATGGGAGGACCACAGACAGTTATCCGTTAGATATTTATAATTTATTATGTGCAACCTAAACAAGCTAAAACTGTCCTGTGATAGGACTTGAAACATTAAACAGCTGGAGACATGATAAGAAAATAACACAGATGGCAAAGAGCATCTCAGATTATGATCAAATCCGATCTATGATAAGTTTAAATAAACTCAGCCCATCTCCCTTACTTCTGTTAGTTAGTGACCGATGTTTGTGACTTATCAAACTTTCCACAATAATTTTGACAGATTTAATAATAAGCCTGCAGACATTTATTCGTGTGCTGGTGGAGAGTGATAACACAGGCATGTGGTGAGACACTTCCTGTCCAAAGAACTCTCCATATATAGTTGGATATGCTTTAAAAACTCTGCTCAAACGTTTTTTTTTTTTTTTTTTTTAAATAAAAGCCTGATCCAGCATTATGCACCTTATTTATGTATATGACCACTGAAACAACATTGTAGGTACTGGAATTAACCGTTACTATCATCTTGTTAATTTAGCTGGGTAGCTAGTAAGCTAGTTAGCAGTTAGCTTTAGCTAACGATTGCACGCAGTGAGGACTCATTAGCTTCATTAGCTAGCTATGTTTTATGAGCGCAGATTAGCGAATGTTAGTAAGTTACGTGTCACTCACCTGCTCATGGGGAAACTTTAAGTCCTAATTTGTAAAAGTCCGATAGTTTCTTGTGAGTTTTATGGTTTAGTTGGCGAACTGCTGACAGACGATAGTTGCTGCGCAACCGGCAGGTAAACAGTGGTTACCATAGCAACAGGACACCGCTCAGCCAACGTGGCCTTCAATGCTGTCGGAAATTTAGCAACTACACGCAATAATCAGGACAGTTTGAATTTTGACCCATCACTTTTAGAGAGTGTCGACAGTAAAGACAGTGTGTTGTATGTAGTTGTTTTTAATTTCAGATGAACACAATTAGTTTCTTTTCATTGTGTGGGTTTCTTACCTTTACATGCTCCCACATCTGCTGTTTGTTTCATCTTCAGTTCACAACAATACTGCAAAATAGTTTTGTCTGCTTCACTTAATAATCAAAACAACCACCAAAACTGCATTTGAATACACAGAAAAGCTCAAATATACGACCACTTGAAGGCGTCTTTTTCCAGTCCTTCTCCCACGTAACTGTTTCTGTCCACCCTCCATGTCAGCCATATTTCATCCAATAAGTAGCTGTAACTGCTACATTAGCTGCGCATACATCGAAAGAGCTGCCCTCGGTCTTGAATCTGTGTGTCGATGTGTGTGTGTGTGTGTGTGTGTGTGAGCTGTGTGAGGATGGAGGCATTGTGTGTGTGTGTTCGGTTAATGGGTTCAGGTCTCCTCAGCACTTGGCTGCATTGTTTCACGGTTGTCTTATAATCTCAGGAGGAGACTGACAGGCCCAACTCTCTGACATCCCACAGACCCTAAATTAGCCCATGATTGGCAGCACTGTTCACTTTGTGCCTGAGTTTGTTTAGTGAAGGTGAGGCGAGGCTGGACTGTTCAATGTGTGTGCCTTCTCTCCATCACTGACACACACTCTCTCTCTCTGTCACACACACAAACACATCAATTAGTCAGTGCAATGAAGTTGCTCGGACTGAGAGCTCCCTCGGGACCCCTCTCATGCACACCGACATGCCAATGAACCGTGTACCTGTGTGTTTTGTGTGTGTGTGTGTGTAGACCGTGTGAGTTATAAGAGTGTAAAAGTGGGGAGAGTGGAGGCAATCAGTCTTCTCTAGTAAAAAGTTGGAGTAGCAACCGCACAGTTAAGAGCACAAGTGAAGAAACAGTCAAGAGCAAATACAGCAACGTCCACGAGTCACAAACAAAAGTACTTCCTCAGACAATCTTCATCGTTTAGATTACATTGAGATGCAGAGTTCAAACTGAAAGGATCTAAACTATAGTGCCTTAACTTATAGATAAAAACTGCCTCCTGTTGTTATCCATACATTTTTATGGGGGGTAATGAAGTAAATTAATTGTTCATTTTGATTTATGAGTCAACTACACATTTACTGGCTTTTGATATTCTACCGCTCCGACTGTACGAATATTGATCAGTTTATAATCACCTCTACTCTGTGATCTCGCCTCAGTTGCCCAACTATGCAGGGTTACCAGATGACTTTGTGGGTTTTGTGTTTGACTAATGAATTTTACAACTTATAATGTTAAATGCTAACTCCTGTATGTACAATATAAAACAAAAGAAAATTGAAAAACTTCGCCACAAACACGTTGCATTCATTGAATGTTGCTAATTTAAGTCATGTCTATGGAACTTCCTCCCACTAACATAAATGCCTTTAATTTGCTGCAGCGTCACCGGTGCATAATACAAAGAGGTCAAATGAAAATACGGAACATATTTTACCAAGTTCTATATAATGAAAGTAATGTATCCCACGGGCTGCAAGGTGGCTCGGTGGTTAGCACCGTTGCCTCGCAGCAAGAAAGTCGCCGGTCCCAGTGAGGACACCCGGGATCTTCCTGCGTGGAGTCTCCATGTTCTCCCCGTGCAGCGTGGGTTCTCTCCGGGTTCTCCGGCTTCCTCCCACACAGTCCAGAAACATGTTGAGGTTAATTGGTGATTGTAAATTGTCCGTAGGTGTGAATGTGAGTGTGCTTGGTTGTCTGTCTCTAAGTGTAGCCCTGTGATAGACTGGTTACCTGTCCAGGTGAACCTGCCTTCTTCCTGAGTCAGCTGGGATAGACTCCAGCCCCCCACGACCCTAGTGAGGATCAAGGTGTATAGATGATGGATGGATGGATGTATCCCATGAGTTGAAGGACCACATTGGTATTCTCTGATAATAATTTAAATACAGGATAAGCAAACAGGCTGTCATGTCATATTAAAAAAAAATGTTACTGAACAATGCGACTAAGAGCGCAACAGCATGATAAAATGAAAATTCACAAGCCTTCAATGTGAAATAGGCAGGGCTTCCACTGAACCCTGCTTTTGAACCCAGTCAATCATATAAGATTTGATTTTACAGCAATTTAGAGTCTGTTGATGTCAAACACCAAGGTGGAAAATGAGCCACTAAAGCTGCTCTGACACTGTCACCTTGTTTTAATGGACACCACCTCAACTCCTCCTTCCAGACAGCAACAAAAAGCACACACACACAAACACAGCAGCAGCAGCAGCAGCAGCAGCAGCCCATCAGGCACACACAGGCACACCTGCCATGGAAGGTTGATAGGAAAATATATTCCACACAGACGACATGATAACAGAATCATTTCACACTTCACTGAGCCTCGGCACATTCTCTTTGTGTGCACGTGTGTGTTTGAGAGAGAGAGAGTGCCAGCATGCATGTCTATTAGGATGCTGCTGGGTTGTATGTACTGTATGTTCCTTTAGAGACTCTGCTTCTCGCAAATTTCCATATGATGAGCCCTGAGGCCGTCTCTGACAACGAGAGACAACACAGACAGCGAAAAGGGACAGAAAAGACACATTCTTTCAGGACACCCCAGTATGTAGCGTAATGTGATGCTTGTATTTCTGTGATGGAGCGCCGCGGAACATATTGTCCCCGCTGTAGCTTTATTAAAAGGGATCCGCATTAACAAAACAAAGAAACATCGTGCTGTCATAACAACATTATCCGCGGTGCACGCATGTGGATTTTTATGTATATGTGATACACTGATGCCCATGTTACTGTGTCCTCGGGCACACGTGTTTATGAAGCATCTGTGCAGGTCTATCAGTGTGATGTGGTGTATGACGATCCATCCTCATGCCTCACAGCCTCTGGCAGGCTGAAGGCTAATAATAAATGCAAATTACAATCAGAGGAGCAGATCGGAGCTGGAGAGGATAATTGCTCCATTATGGCTATGTGTGTGTGGTCCAGGTATCACTCGTGTTGTGGGGACTTCTGTCTGTTTACGCAGTCGCATTATGGGGACGTGTTCTCCTTATGGGGACAAATGGCAAGTTCCTATCATCTAAATCATTCCATTTTGAGGTTCTGACATGTTTAGGGTTAGATTAAAGGTACGGGTTGCACAAGTAGGAGCTGCGGTTACGGTTAGTCTCCAGGAAATGAATGTGAGTCTATGTATTGTCATCTAAAGTCATGGAGCAACAACTGTGTCTGCTGCCAGGTGGTGACGTCACACACTGACAGGGACAGCTGAGGTGATGAGGCGAACAATTGATTTACTTGCTGGAAAATTTCCACTTTTCCAGTATGAGGGCCAAGTAGGGCTAATTAAAGTGTGTGACGTAACAGCGAGACACAAATTCAGATAAATAAATAGAACTCTAGATCACAATTTGTTCCTGATTGTCGCTGTGCTTGAATTGTAAACAGGAAAATATTGCATGAGGGCGTGTGTTTCTTAGTCACACTCGATGGTTTGCCATTTCATTTTATTACTGTTATTAGGAGCCTCATTTCCTTCATCAACAGAAAACATTAAAAAAAAAAAGAAGCTTAAAGCTTTTTGGGGTCAACGCTTCACTGTCCCCACTCACAGAGATGCTGTAGGTGGATTGTGTAAAACAGAACTAGGCCAGCTGCTTTCCCCTGTCTGTAGGCTTTATACTAAGCTAAGCTAAGCTAAGCTAAACTAACCATACCATGCCATACCATATGATGCCATATCACATCATATCATACCATCTCCTAGATCTTGCTTTGTATTTACTGCACAGATGTATGGTATTATTGTTGTTATTGTTATTGTTGTTGATTTGTTCATCTTAATTTCCATTCATTTATTCAAAATCTCGCAAAACACATTAAGGGACAATCCTCATTTTCAAGAGAAGATTTTAAAGAAGATTTTAACTCACAGGTGAAGATTTCTACGACACGGTGACTTTGTGCATTACTGCATTTCTCAATTCACTTGGCTGCAGATTTGGGAATCTAAATTTAACTCTGGACATATTTAAACTAAAACCACTGGTGGAAAGCGTGCTGAAAATCTGTACTCAAGTAGACTTACGTTTACGTTCCTGAGCCCCAACATTAAAGCCACTGACAAAACAAGTGAATAACATGCATCATCTCATTGCAGTGTAATGTTCTGCTGGAAAACTTTGGGTCCTAACATTCATGTGGATTTGACTCATACCAACCGCCTAAACATTGCAAGAACAACTCTCCACAGGCAGCAGCCTCCTTTAGCAGGGTTATGCATCTCGCCGTCGCCATAAATTGCACATATAAAACATAAAAAAAGCAAACAGGAACTTGTCTCTTAACCTGTGTAGAACAGTATAGACCTCTCACAATGCACTGCAAACCAAAAGCTCCTTGATATTCTAACACATCTTCAATTTCTAAGCCTTTTCTTCAGTTTCAGTCAGGGAAAATTTTCCAAGTTAAAGGAGTGTATCTGGATTGATTTTGATGTGCGATGCTCAGTTGTCAGCTCTCCAAACCTGTACCAGTTGCTGGTTTTTTTTGGTTTTGTCTATTGTCATTGGCCCCATTTGAAATTGATAGTGGCCTAAAATGGAAAACGAAAACGGTTTTTAACAGACACTGAACGTGCTCTACAACGATGTGGTGAAATATGATGCAAGGGGAAAATGACAGAACTGAAAAAATGAGCGTGCAAATACCTAGGAAAACTGCAGTAACAAAGTAGTTGGAATCAGTTCGTTAGGATGTGGTGTGTGTCAGATTCCTGGTAACCAGCTGAAAGGTGAAACCTGATTTCTGCTCATTTTCTCCATTAAACGTC